CACTTTCCGAAGAGCTGCATAGCGCACGGAATTGCTCATCTCGCCTCTTCAATGTCGGGCAGTTTCTGTCTGTCGCACGTGTCTGCAGGAGTTCCGGGTACCCTGTCCGGAGTGAGGGCGGTGATGTGCCCTGGGGCAGAGTGGCGCCTGGGCACGACGGGAAGCAAGTGAAGAGGGTGACGCGCGTTTGGGGGATGTTCAGTTACCACTATCTGGGGGACGGCGTGAGCTGACCCCCAGCCGTTCGTCAGTCGCGCCGCGTTCTTGTAGCAGATGTAGCGGGGGGCAAACACCTTGTCTCGCTGGCGAGGGGCAAGGACCACCTGGGGAATGCGAGTAGGCACGGGACGTGATTCTTGCTGACGATTTACTTGGCGATAATAGTACAGTTCCACTGACCTCGGCCCCCAGACACAGGGCCCGCTGAAGACGGCAGCTGCAACAGGACACAACGCGGTCCTGAGTTCAGAAGTAAATGTGGCCAAGTCGATTTCCTCTCGAAGACGCCTCACGTGCTGGCAAGTTAAGAGGCAGAATTCTCTCTCCCCTGCCAGTCACATGGGTCGGTTAGCACTTAAGAAGACTGAAGCCAGTAGTGCATTTCGTGCTTATCTTAAGTCAGATCATTGAAGAACGTGATGGTACTTATTCTTGCCCACCAACTTAAATTTCATCTAAGAATTACTTGATGTTAGTAAGTCACACAATTGTTAAGAATCACAATTAAGTAACATGAAGCTCTCACGGCTATTCTGACTGATGTTTTGTGCTTTTCCTCAGTCTCTCCAGGCAGATGATATGATAGTGCTTGTTGTTATTTTATGAATGGAATAAGTTTTCAAAATCAGAATCAGGGCGAGTGAAAATATATGATCGTAGTTTTATAATCATGACATTATAAAGGCTTTAATAATGAAACAGTTTCTAATAAATTGGTGTAGAAAAATTATGACTCGGGTAGTTTATAACTCTGGCGTAAAAGACTTCCGGCATTTTCTATTTCACGGCGGTCGTGTGTGTTTTGTTTTATTCCATTTGTGTACAAGGGCGTAACTAACCTGTAGCTGCAGCCTGAACAGTAAGGAGGTTAGATTTTGAGCTAGTTCCTTTAGGAAATGCCTCTGAGTCTCAGTCAGACAACTCACGCAGCTGTTTGTACTTGGTCTCCATCGTCTGAGGTATGAGATCCTTGCAGCCCTCGGCCACGGTTAGCTCCAGTTTGGAGAATTCTCGGTGAAGAGGCACTGAACCGACGATGAGTGGCATCCGGAGCTCCAGAGGGCTGCTTTCTCCGGCAATGTCCACGTCGAACTGGGGATGCAAATGTAAACTTTGTTACCTTCCTGCGTTAGGTCAGCCTTATTTGTATTGCACAGTAAGTTGCGGGCGGCGGAGGATGATTGGACTGAGGAGGCTATGGATCTCGTCCAACTGCAGACTTTGGTGTCATTAAAGTTTTTTTGTTCTGAGCCACGGATTGGATTGTAATGTTAAGAAATTAATGCCGGAGGATGCGAGAGGGTGAGGACTGGACACCCCCCCACCCCCCACCCCGAGGGGGGGGCAGAGACATCGTAATGAAGCTTTGAGTTCTGTAAAACGCGTGTAATTTCTTCACTAGCTGAGCATTCCTTGGCTCCTTTTCTGTGTTTTGAGAAATCGTAATGTGAAATTTGCCTGTTGTTACAAATGAAGAAAAACTGTGCGTGGCAGTGAATGTTTTGTGTATATATTACAAGTGAATTATCTAGAAAAGGTTGGATTTAAATCGATTAAGAACATGAAAATTATTTGACCCATTCTTTTTGTGTGATAACATTGTAGGTATAAAATTATGTTACAGAACTGAAAACATTTTTACGGATTGTCATGTGACGCCGTGAAGGTTGGTGGTCGTGGCCTGAAGGGGGAAACTTTTGAGACGAGAGAGAATGAGAGACGGTGTCACAGGACGGACTGATCCCAGGTCTCTGCCGACTCAGGAATACTCACATCAAGCCGATATTCTATGTCCATCAACTTGCAGAAGTTCTCGAGCCTCGATGTTGGTGGCAGCGGAGGAACGTTGATCGGAACTGCGTCCCACGTGTCCGACTCACCGCAGGACACTCGCCCTCGGTACACTTGGCTGATCACCACTTCGTCCACGTGACTCTGGAAGCCCTTGTTAGAGAAGTACGTTGCTACCTGAAATGGCGTGTCACGAAGCAAATGCACGGGCGAATTCTCCGCATTTTGCCTTCCGCGACTCAGATAAACTTCCCCTGAGACACGTGGGCAGAGTTTTAGATCTTCCAGCCTGTTGTTACGTATAATACTGAAAAGTTACCATTCGCTAATGACAGATAAATCCAAAGTAATAGACGCATTATCCCATAAAGCCCAAAACTCCCATAACGTCAAATGAGCTTTTAGTATCCATGGCCACTGTCAGTACTCTTGGTTTTTAAATCGTGTTTCTACAGAAAGGCCCTCAAAGTGTAGACAGTGTTAATTTGTTTTCTTTAATTTGGAAATTAAGTAATTATTATCACATTAAAACTGCGACGCTTGTGGGTTACATGTCCAGGCCCATTTCAAGTAATTATTAGATTTTGTAATTTGTTTCTCTATTGATATTTAGGGCTCTGTGTCACCAGGTGGTTAATGACATTTAAAACTGCTTACGTCAGCAAAGTAATCGATAATCGAAATTTCTATGGTTTTATTTAACTGTAATTTCCGAACACTGTCCATGCTAGTGTCTTGTTCAGAGCATGTCCATTTAAGAGGAAGTATCTTCCTGCTGCAGTTAAAAGAATATTTACTTGAATGAGCTTAACGCAACTCCTGTATATTGGCGTGTTGCTCATGTTGAGGACGTCTGCAAAAACGTGTATGTCCTCTCCAGGTGCGTAAGCCCTCCTCTTGAGACTCGCAGAAACTATGATGGTGCCCTTCGGACAGCAGAAGAGGCAGGAATTGGTACTCCGCTGTTCGTTGACGCAACACTGCAGGGAAGATTTACACACAAATATCGAAATGTTACTAACACCCCAAAACGACGGGGAAGATTGTCAATTTTGGAATTCATTCATGAGGTGGGTGTCAGGTTACGTCACCTATGAGATTTGAGATTCTCGTGGCAATCAAAATGTCAGTGTTGGTCTTCTGGGTCGCAGTGTTCTGCAAACTTGAACTTATGTGCCACTGATTTGGAGGATCATACTGTCTCCATCTTCAGAGCTGATGTGTGATACTTTATTTAGGGTGAGGAAAAAGACTACGCTAGGGGGGGAATTGGCCAGCCCTAGCCAAGGTACTTACTGCAAGACCAAATGGTGTTACAACCCGACTAACGTCATCAAATTATACTTTCGATTTCTAATTTTTAGTAATATACAGGAAGACCTAAAGGACGTGTTAATGCACTGGTTCTGTTAGAATTTAAAATGATCAAAAATATATTAATGCTGATGAAGAGAACCTCTAGAGAGATCTCTAAAACTTTGGAGGATCCACTTTCAATAACCATGTCGTGATATTCCAAACTCTCTAAAGTGTGCTTACTCTCGTCCGCATTCAAAATTTTCACTAGGGTTAAAATGACAGCCTCTGACGGCATTGTGCACGTTCAAAATTTCGTGAGGAACATCCGGTTGATGTCTGTATTATTCAATCTGACAGAACAGAGCGTAACGTCTCAAAGTTTCTTGCTTCGAAACCTTAAACGTCAGTCTGTCGTCAGCGACAATGCGCTGAATGTTACTCAAATGCAATGAACTTACATCTGCTTTTGGATCCGTGTTAACATCAGCGATGTTGCTAACACTGAACATTGTTCGTGACTGAATATTCGGCATTGCGCTGCGTTCAAGCGTTGCCTCGCAGAAGTAGCGTATGTATCCGAGGCGGCCATGAAATGAGGATGGAAGCTTGTTTGGAAGAGTGTAGTGGAACGGAAATCTGTGTTCCCCTGTCCACAGCCGCTCGCGTTTGCCTGCAGAGCCAAAGGTGAGACTCATCAAAATTGACGACAAACAGTAAAGAAGACAGAGCAGGGAGGGGCATCCTCCGTGGACCTATCATCAGGTGGTCAAATTTGTGCCAAAAGAAATAGCTCACTTCTGTATACTTTCGGAACATTACGACCAGAGACCATAGTCTGTATGTATGACCCCAGTGTGTATAAGGTTGTGGTATGATAAGGAGCATTCTGCAGATTACTTACTGCTGTATTTGTGACCAAAGACATACATCTTGTGCTCAAAATACTTCTCGTATGAGCGAAATGCCACGTCTTTGTTCTTATCTCTGCTCCTTGTCCGGTGCAATGGGCGCGCCTGTCTCTGAGGACGTTTCGTCCATCCGTCCTCACCAGGAGAATCCTGAGACCCAGCCTCCGTTCCGCAACACGATGATGCTGCCCCAGACAAATCCGGCATGGAAGGGCTTCTGCAGAAACAGACAGAGGGCGCCCACTTGTTATGAAACTCAAGATGCATCGTTGTTTCGACCTTACTGACTGGGCGTGAATTTGCCATAATTCTCCACGGTCTGTCACAGCGTACGCTCACTTGAAATACGTTTCAGTGGTTTTTTCCCGTAAACTCACATCTTGTTTTTATTGCAGAGGTTTCGTCGTATGCCTGAGATGTGTCGCACGTTCCAGGGCGAGGTCTCCTTCTGCTCTGGGACACTCGCGTACGCCTCGCCCACAAACCGCACGATTATACCTGTGGCAAAAGATTGTGCGTTCTTGATAGGATTTATCACTAAAATCTCTGACACTTCTGTCAACAGTGCGCTGACTACTTGATATTATCTTTACTAGAACTAAATTGTTCAAGTGTTCATGTCATGTTATTGACTGTATTAAAAACTGCAGGCAGTGAATATCAAAATGGTTTATGCAAATTTATGTCCAGCAACCGTGACATGTACAAGGAACGCCCGCGGTTAGTGCATCGTCATTAAATTGACGTGCTGTCTGTTACTGGGTTATGTTCTTTTTATCACAGACCTTGCACCGTGAGACATCCAGCCAAGTCAACCTTCACGTGTCCCCTGATCTCTTCGCCGCAGAAGTAAATATGATGGGGTTCCTCCAAGACCACGTCGAACTGGCGGATCTCCTCAGGCACCTGTCGGCTCCGGAAGAGCTGGAAAGCACAAACATCTCAGCTGCTGACACGGCCCAGCTAAAGACATCCGGCACCTCTCGCTACGAGACCGCCACGAACATCCAGACCAGTGGCCCACGGGGAAACATTTATCAAGTGTCGGTACGTATTGGTCCAAAGTGTACGACTCAATTGGATGTGTGTGTGTGTGTGTAAAGTTACAGACTTAACTGAAAAATTATGCAAAATTTTGGGAGGTGAAGCCCATGATTGGAAGAATACTTGAAAATTTGGGCGTAACGTGGTTTGTAATGGCGGCCTTACACAGTGGCTGATTGTGGTATATACAGCACGTCAGGAAGAGAAGACTTCACCCTGAAAATGGAAGCGATATTTTCTTCCGAAACGTTGGTAAACATAAACCAGGCGGCGTCATAACCCATTAGACCGCAATAGACACCATGGTTATTAAATGATTAACATACTTGTAAGGGCCCTTAATTAATGAGCAGTTCTAATTCATCTTGACAGGACATCCCGTAATTTTATAGGACCAGAAGGTTCATTGCCGTGTTCTCAACAGCCCACGACGTTACACCCTATTTTACATCCATTTTAATATTATCTTCCCATCGATTTTCAGGTCTTGCAGGTGGTCGTTTGCCTATGCGTGCTACGTGTCCAGCCCCTCTCATTCTTGATCTTATCACCCAATAATATTCGGCGAAGCTCCTCATGGCGCTGGGTTTTTTCCTACCCTCCTGCTACTCCCCCCCCCCAATATTTTTCTTGGCGCTTTGGTCTCTAACACCCGGAAGTACCGCTCGAATTCAACCTCTTCGTAAACGTGATTTTCATTTGTCTCAGCTGTGTTATGGCACGCGACAGCGAGTCACGTGTTTTTTTAAGATGGAGACGGCGCTCGTGTGAGCACTGTGACGTAATTATAATTGACGACAGGAGAATGACCTCGCAGTGTTGCCCTGTGGCACTCTGAAATATTATTGATTGCATGTTACGACAGACTCTGTGATACGGAAACTAAACCATTTCTTCTTATTCACGACATCTCACCCTAGAACTCCATTCCGAGCCATGAATTCGTTTTCTCCAATGTTCGTTTTAATATTATCCTCCCGCGTACCGTTCCATTTCTTGCTATTCCATTCGTGCTACGTGTGCTGTCATGTCGGTCCCCTGACTAAATGAATTCCGGTAGCAAATTTTGTAGATTATATTTGTGTTAATTCGCGACAAACCAAAGTTTTAAACCCGTGTGGGCCGAATTAATATTATATGTCGAGTCCACATCCTTACGGCCAGTTTTTCATAATTTAATTTTGTTTCTACCCTCATCCGTGTCTCCTGGGGTTTGAAAGCTCAACTTTACGTATTTTTTTTTTTAATCTTGTTATGGAATAGAACACGCACCAGGTGACCTGCATTTCAAATTCGTGTCCAAGCCCCGATCTACGTTGCATGTCCGTGATGGATCTGTTTCCCGCGGCCACTCTTGTGTTACGACTGTCACAGACACTTTAATATGCAGCTTACGTCATGCGTCATAATAAGAGTTTATTAGTGTATTCGAGATATTTATAAATCGCTGGACACGAGTCTTCCGGCTAGGACAAAATTACAGAAAGCGGATGACAACACAACTCGTTCCCTTCACCCAGTGAACAGACAATATCGGCTGTGGGCAAGGAGCGTGTGTAACATGCACGAACAAACAAAAGCTCTTACTTTGTTACAATGAATGTAAGGTACCATTTCGGCAATTTCCTGGAGGGACTGAGAAAACCCACGGAAAGTCTCAGTGAAGATATCCGATCTCAGGACCGATATTTAAACCGAACACCGAGAAGGAGTACTAACCACGGCCGCCACATTCAGTAAAAAATTGCGGGACTATGCATTGAAACCATTTAGAAAATTTCCCACTCACACAACACTCCTCACTTCGGCCCTGATGATGGGGGCGGTATGTTCGTCAAACGTCGGAAGCACAGAACCCTTCCACATGGTACGAGCACCCGAAAGCAGGCTCAACGTCAACGTATAAGTAATTAGCGGATGTTGTAACGAATAGCACTGAGCTCGGCAACAAGTCGGTGTTGACAAGATTTAAGAAGCCGGTTCTTTGGAACAGTGCGTTGGTGTGTCTTTCTTTCGGGCAGTGCAGTAGCTGTCAGTAAGCGTGTTGCAAAAAACCGACTTCACTCACGTAATGCAGTGCTCGTTATCGGTAGAGCCTGGTATTGAGCGGTAACTGCAGATCGGCTTAGTTCGCGCACTAACAGTGACGTTGCAGTCTGTAATTAACTGCTTGAAGCCCGAAGCTCGTCTAAATAATATTTAAGAATCCAGTCCGTACCGCGAAGAAAACACCGCACTTCACCATTACAAAGATCATATGGTTAACGCTGTTTAAGAAATAATCGCTCGTTACAGTGAGAATCATAGTTCGTCTGATTAATATTTAAAAAAAACTGAGTCCGTACCGCGAAGAAAACACCGCACTTCACCATTACAAAGATCAACTGGTTAACGCTGTTTAAGAAATAATCGCTCGTTACAGTGAGAATCATAGTTCGTCTGATTAATATTTAAAAAAAACTGAGTCCGTACCGCGAAGAAAACACCGCACTTCACCATTACAAAGATCAACTGGTTAACGCTGTTCACTGCGAGAATCATACGAAACCCACATGTACAAAGCGCAAAATTACTCATTGTTAAAGCGGGTGGTACATATATTTACCACTGGGTTTAAGTGGTTGCTAAGGACTCTGTTCCATGGTGTTGGCTAGTTGGTGTGTTGGCAGTCACGAATAACCAAGCGACGCAAAACTAATTTGTTAATGGGATGAGTGTACAAAACGTGCGATGCTTTCAGCCACGTAAACAAGTTAAGGGCGAGGCAGTCCGCATTTTCTGGTTCCCACTTGGGCGTTGTCCGCGCTGTTTAAAATGCCCCCTTAATGCCCGCTTCATGCGTAACTACAGACGTCCGTTCTTATCATAATTTTCTGCCATCACGCTAACTCCACATTTTTCCAGCCCTTCGGTCTAAACTGTAGTAAGTAGCCCTTACTAATTATGCAGTGTAAATTTCTGAAATGGAAACACTGAAATATAAAAAATTCCATGAGATGATAAACAAATAAAAAATTCCAGTTTGTGTCGCTGGAATTGAAGTGGACAAACGTAAAGTTATCGTGTTTCGTAGTCTCCACGGCAACGCCTGGAAAACACGTGTCGGTGCCTGAAACATGGCGTTGCTATGGAGAAAGTAAGATTATATATATATATATATATTCTTAAATCCCAACAGAGGGGCGACGTTTACTACAAGAAACTCAAATTCAAACCCCGCCTTCACGTCACCGTCCCCGTAGTCATTTAGGCATTTAGTCTTAACTATTCGATTGGATTAAATGGCATTACCGAATTCAAGCTAACCGTTCCGTCAGATGGCCGCTACCCGCTTTGGTCACAGCATTTAAACGCAGTGGTAACTATATGTACCACCTATTTTAACGATGGATAATTCAGATCTTTGTACGTGTGATGGGTTTCGAATGATTATCACAATAAACAGCGATTATTTTCTTAAACAGCGTTAACTAGTTTATCTTTGTAATGGTGAAGTGTAGTGTTTTCTTCGCGGTACGGACTGAATTCTTAAATATTATTTAGATACCTACTCAGTGTATCCATGGATTTCCTATGATTCTCACAATATAAACAGCGATTATTTCCTTAAACAGCGTTAACCAGTTGATATTTGTAATGGTGAAGTGTTGTGTTTTCTTCGCGGTACGGACCGAATTTTTAAATGTTATTTAAACGAGCCTCGGCTTCAGAGTGTTAAAGTGCGTCGGGACATTCCTGGTTTCGTAAATGTGTGACTGTTTCACGAGCCACAGCAGAACAATGAACCTGGACCATGGACTTGAGGCGTCCCCCACGGGTGTTCCTGGTATGAAAACAATTCCATTTCCCTACCGACAGAAATCCGCGGACAGTGGGCCTACATCTTGTGTTGACGACTAAATTTGTGCTCTGATTGATCGCTGTTCTGCGTGGTAGTCGCTAGTAAGGAGCAACGGTGTATTTAATATGCTCGACGTTTCGAGAGTTGGATTACTACCGTCTTCAGGTGATTCGCTGTCGTTATATGTCTACTGTCAGATTTGTCACTCTTTTATTTCGATGCTGGTGGCATGGGGTGGGAATAAACCCGGGTCCGTTGGAGTACCAGGCTTTTTACGTTAACAAATCTGTTATCTCGTTTGTTGAACACACATACACATTTGAGATGGCTGTCTTCTGGGATGTCGCGCCGTGTACTATGGTAGAAATTGACCAAGGTTTCGGTCCCGCTTACTGTCTCCATCATCAGGGAGGAACTCTGCCGTCATAATATCGCACGGCGCACCCGCTTTCCAAGAATGCTTTGACGACCGATCCATGGCTACCCATTGCATCCGATGTATTGTGCTCAGGTTAATTTATTTATTAATAAATTTGGCTCCTCTGCGTTTGGACGTGCCAGCTGGCGCATTAATGTTACTTACCTTACGAATTGTGGTGTTGAGTAGGCCACGACGCCTTGTAGACAGGTCATTCACTTACCAGAGTTCCGGCAAGGCACCCAGAAGGTGAAGGCGACGTGTTCCACAGTCTTACCTTGACCCGGTTTTCCGATGCCTCGTGAATCACCCCCGTGGAGAAGTAGTGACTTGCCCCTTGGCTCTTCATAGTTCCTCGTCACCTGCAGTCACTGCTCCGAGTTGCTGGCAATGAGGACTTCTGGGGGCGTGGTCACGCACTTAAAACACGGCCAATCAGCATCTGCGAACGTCGTCGTGTCTTCAGCGGAAATTAGGTGTGGTCACTGTGTAAACAAACGCGTGTTATATCACGAGTTGTCCGTCCACCCTTCCACGGTAATTCATTTTCGTAATTAGCAAGGTGCCGACGTGGCGGGGGCCGTGTTTATTCAGAAGGGCAGACGGACGTCATCAGGCTGTCAACAAAAGATGCACGGAACGTCCTCGCAACCCAACAGGTCGGGAGTTCAGTTGGTTATGTTCATCACCCGAACGTCGCGGTCGAGTGGTTGCCACTCCTGACTGAGGTTTCGTGGTTTTCCTCAGCCACTCCAAGAAAATGCCGGGGTAGTGCCACCATAAGAGGCTATGACCGCATCCTTCCCAATTCATTATTAAACCTATCATTGACGCTAAATAGACCATAAAATACGAACGTCATGATGATGATGATGATGTAAGGAACTTAAGTGGAAGATTTCTGTCTTCTGGGTTATTGCGCTGTGTAGATGTTAACCAACGTTTCGGAGGTCATACTGCCTCCGTCATCAGGGCGATGACAAGCCAGAAGACAGAAATCTTCATACTCGCCGCTGTGGAAACCTCAAACCTTACATAACTTAAAGTGCATTAAGCTGTTAAACCAATGCGCCTGTGTTAAATAAGAACTCTTACAAAGTTACCAAGGCCGAATTTTTTCTCGTGGCCTCGTTCTGATTGGTTCTTTTGCCTCTGATTATTTGAAGAGAAATGCATTTTACATTGCGACAGTGAAATTGTCTATTTATCTGCCAATACACGGCGTCGTGTCAGGGGAAGAATTGATACTGCTAATCGTAAATGCATCGATTTGCGATGTAAGGTTCTGTCCCGGAATTTACTGGAGAGGCTGAGGAAAACTCGGAAGTCATGACGGCCTGTCTTCTAGCCGAGGGTGGACCTCCCGAATAAGAAACAGGAGTGCCAACCATTCGGCTGCTAAGTTCGGTCCGCTGATTAGAATTTTGATTTGTCGTAAAACTGATTTACAGATGCGAACTGACTTACATCTGTCCACGAACGAAGTCGTCATTATAACTTCTTATAAATGTATACTTCTGTGATGCACTGCACGAAAAATTTCACCTATGAACACAGAGTCAGATTATTTCATAACCATCCGAGGCACGAAGGTCATCTGGAGACAATTCACTTCCTGCCTCTGAAAAACGAAACGCTTAAAGAGATCGATTTGTTAATTCCCTTTAGGGAATTAATCGCTGTTCACTCTGATAACCTTACGTAACCCGTAAATGCGCCCTGCGGCCATCACGCGTAATTACTGAATCTCAAAGTAGGTGAAACATATAATTACCAGTTCTTAATGCCAATTAAGAGCGGCTTAGCTTTCGAGTACTCACGTGCTTGACAATTCACTCCCGTGGCTCGTCGATCGATGCCAGCGTTTCGGAAAAACATACTTTCTCCATTTTCAGGGTTGAAGAACCTTATCATCATCTTCTTCTTCATCTTCCCGTCCCCCCGTGAAAACCTCAAATACCACACACGTTACTTCTGTGTCAACGTGGAGGTCGGCCTACATTTAACTTAAAAGTTGTGTGTCGTAAGAATATTTGGATACCTCATTAAGGAATTGTCCTACCTAAAATGTTGTAACAGAATCACCGCGACTAATCATCGTGGACTGAAATTAAAAGCCAACGCGCTCCCAGAGATTCAGTTAACGAACCAGGGATTTCGAAGTTCCGAAACGTTATAAAATGTTATTCCACGTCTGTCATAATTCTTCTGGATAAACACACACACACACACAAAATAACTTAATTAGTTCTGATCACAAACGATGGTCAGCGGCCATCCTCAGCCTTTCTGCTGTTCTGGCCACTTGGAGGGTCTGACTAGGGCTGCAGTATTTCGCCGCGTCATAGTGACGTAATAACAGTGACGCGTGCAACACGTGAACTTAATAGTTACACGTCCATTTATCACGCACTGAGGTTGACAGATTGTACCCAAGCAATGCCAATGTTTCTTAGAAAATAACTGGTTTAAACTCGTATTTTTAACGCGCTCCCAGAGATTCAGTTAACGAACCAGGGATTTCGAAGTTCCGAAACGTTATAAAATGTTATTCCACGTCTGTCATAATTCTTCTGGATAAACACACACACACACAAAAAAAATAACTTAATTAGTTCTGATCACAAACGATGGTCAGCGGCCATCCTCAGCCTTTCTGCTGTTCTGGCCACTTGGAGGGACTGACTAGGGTTGCAGTATTTCGCCACGTCATACTGACGTAATAACAGTGACGCGTGCAACACGTGAACTTAATAGTTACACGTCCATTTATCACGCACTGAGGTTGACAGATTGTACCCAAGCAATGCCAATGTTTCGTAGAAAATAACTGGTTTAAACTCGTATTTTCACCGGTTTGCGGGTGGTTTTTTATTGGTTTAAAGGTCATTTTTCTCTGTTTTTTATAGTTCACACTCGAAGGCAGTATCTTAAATATAATTCAGAATTAAAATCGCCAAGTCCCGGTCGATATGAAGCCCCTAACTCAGGACGGAGGGTATGGTAATGTGCTGCTCGGTCAGGGCTATCGCACACTGCGTGGGGCAGTGATGGATAACGTATGGAGCGATGGTGGGATGACGATTAGAAGCAGAAAACAGAACGACTAATAGATAAACCTACTTCTCGTGCACAAATGAAATGTAATTTAAGTAATCTGGGACTGAACGAGGATTTTCGCGATGAGAATCCTCTCGTCTAACCGCCTGAGCTATTGCACAGGTCCCTTTTCTCGGTCTTCTCCTTTCCTTTACTTTTCGGATCACCAATCACACATCCATTACCTTCCTGTATACCAAATTGCTGTCTATTTCATTGTCACTACAAGCAGCGATCACCAATCACACACCCATTACCTTCTACCTAGCGGTTAGAAGGCTGGCCTTGTAATCCTGGGGTCTCGGGTTCGATTCCCGGCGGTGCCCGAATTTATAACTTGTGTTGGGCAAGGCCGTGGTCTAGGCAACACGGAGTTTTCCTCCGTGGCATCCCAACAATTACTCCATTCACACACAGAAGAAGGCAATGGCAAACCACTTCTGGATCATCTGCCAAGAACGTATATGAACAGGTCCCAGTCCGAGAAAAGGATGGAAGGATCCTGTTCATATGGACCTGTCGTCAGACAGAACACTACAAATAAAATAAATAATACCAAATTACTGTCTATTTCATTGTCACTACAAGCAGCGCCAAAGGCCTCTTCATGTTGGTCCTGACTCTTTCGGGCACGGGCCATCTCTCAAATGTTATCGTAATTAAGTCATGCAATAATTTACTTATTTATCCTAGGAGACATTTATACTCGTCGCCGTGAGAACCTGAAATCTTGCCTTCTTACTGTGTGCTTTAGCGATACTTAAATAAATTGTCCAACTTGTATATTTTATCAGATCATCTTTGTAACACGAAAACACCCCTTGAAAATATGCAGCCTGAAACGCAGCCGACAACTTACACCAACTTATAGAAGCCTCCGCAAGGTTGCAGTGCGAGTGCGACCAATTTCCGACTTCATGGGCTTTGAAATTGGTACGTGTGCCGTAACCCTTACCCTAAAAAAAATACCTTCGTATTCAGTTCCCTGTCGTCTAAAAGTCATCGGCTGATGTAACCCGTCTCTCAAATGTTGAACATATGATAGTTCTTTGAAATAAGTCATGACCACGTCCCTCCAACGTATTTGACGCCGAAATTCCACTGGCTGTTCATGTATTGATGTTAAAACTTGCTTGTAATATGCATAGAAAATATTTGTATGTGAAAGTAGGGAAATGTTTCCCCATGCTGTTGTGTCTGCTTTGAATGCACGGTTCTGCCATCTGTTACCAATATGTTGTAACTATAACTCAGTGCCGAATAAGCACAGAGAGGGCTATCCGTGGCTTTTAGCACGTATGACGTTTTGTTCTTTTATTGTCCCGGAGTTAGACATTTTCATCATGTGGAAATATAGGTCATCTGTGCTAGAATTACATAGATAGAAATGGCAGGAATGGAAAGGTATGCCATATATTCAGATAACTGTCAGGGTCGTTTGAACCGTCGTATTCAAAGTGATTTTAAAGGTGGTGAAATCTTGCCTTCTTCGGAAGGTGGACGGTTACCGCCTAAAGCGTTTGAAGATGATGGTGAGTTCAGTTCTGGAGAACGTTGTACATACATGTTTATCAAATTTGCATGACTTATTTTTCTTTTACAATTTCAGCTCTTACTGGTATGTTGCTATTCGGGTTAGGAAATTCAGTGGAACCTTTTTGTGACTGTATATCATTATTAGTGGGCCCATTTGTTGAGAATAGGTGGCCACTAATAGGCTACAGCAAGAAATTCCTCTTTGCCAGTCTCTCTTCGCCTTATGGCCTCTAGTAGTATAATCTTTTAGGCCTTGAGGTTATGGCACACACACACTGACCCATAGAAGGATATGTGATAATGTTGTATATGATTCTATATCTGATGATACCCTCACAGGAGATGATGTGATAAAGGATTTATAAAGCAAGGAACTGTATTTGGATATTGGAATGAATATTGAATTAGATTCCATTGCTTGATGTTCAATTCTTGCCATCTACTTGGAAGATGGAGTTCAGGGTCCTTGCATAATCACAGCAAGAAATGCTTGTTTAAATTTGTTTCCTTGCATATTTTATCTTCTTATCCTTTCTTATAGATGGAGGAAGCGCATTATGAAATGTTTACCTTGCCACATGTTACCTGTAGGTGAACCGTGCAACTTCTTAGATGTCAACACTTCACTAAATTGCATGGGATTCTTTAGATGGTAACCATTGACTGTCGTTCAGCTCATGTTAGTCCTTGTAACCTGTTTCTCTAATATACATTTTAATAGTTCCTGTTTTATTAATGTTTGTACATCTTGTGTTTTTTTAAGAGGTTTCTGCATTAAATGTTTATGTTTTGTTCGTCCAACCAGAACTACGTGCTTAATGCATCTTAACATTTTGCTAGAAGAATTGTGAAACTCATTGCTCCTTGGTACTTTATTTTCCTCTTTCACTGCTTGTTTTTTGGTAAACAAGTAGAACATGCAGAAGAAACTATTTTTTTCTTCTCCTGTTTAATGGGAGCTGTGCCCTTTTCTGTCTCAGTTTTGGAATCACCCAACCTACTTTGGTAATTTCCTAAACAGAATTAAAGGATGCAGAATGTTCATGACTTTAATTCTTGGTAATTGTTCATGTCACAGTTAGTTTTAGGTCTTGAAAATTCTGATGTTTCATTTGAGCATTAGGCATGTGTCCAGGATTCCGGATATCTGCTGATATATTAGTTTCAGTAGTGAGTATAAATGTATTTGTGTGAAGCAAGCTACGAGACTGCGTGCAAGTTTATCAGTCGAGTAGAAATCGTGGTTCCTCGAAAATCTCAATTTTTCTCTGTTCACAGATGGTAACATCACAAGGTATATTGGTGTTGGAGTTGGGTTGGCTAGCCTGATCACAGAGAACCTTTTGAGTCATCCGTTTGTTGTTCTGAGGCGTCAGTGTCAGGTAGGCTGTGTGTTAATGAATGTAAGTCAGTCAGTAATTACTTGATTCTTGGTGGTTAGCATGTATGTGGTTCATAGGTCTAGGATTTACATTTTTCCATTAAGAAATTGGTGCTGATTGTCGAAATGGCAGACGAGATGGGCGTATTTTGTGTCTGGCCTCACATTTCATTTGTAACACGTGTGTACAGCTGTGAAAGAGAGGCGGTGAAATAGGAGGGGATAAACACACCATGACAGGATGTTGGACTAAGTAGGTTTGTGTAGTGACAACTTGTGTAACTTTATATAGGAAGTACTTCCGTTTCATCTTAAGCGTGGCAGTAGCTGTTTTGCCTGAGGGTTTTTGTACTTTCACTAAGTTGTTGCAAATGAATGCTAGCTTACTGCCTCAAAGTAGGTGACAACCAGTTTTTTCTTCAAATTTACTATTAATAGTAAACCTGTCACCTCATACGAGCTTGAATTTGTTAAAGAGCTAATGAATGAATAAGTAAATAATTAGACAATAACTATATGAGAATTGACGTTATCATCGTGTTGAAGTTGACGGTTTGGGTTGTGACAGCTTGTCAACTAGGTGGTTACCAATTTAACAAGTCCACATGGTGTTGCGACCCAGAATACAACCTTCAAGATAGAATAATTTGCAAAACCACTGCCTTAAAATTAGTAGAGGAGATGTCGGTATGAGACGGTGCGTGACTGCGTTTTACTCGCTAATCTCCCACCAGTTGTGCTCCAGGTACACAACAACTCATCTCGCTACCATCTGGTGCCTATCACTTTGCTGCCTGTTATTGTCCATCTACACGGACGTCAAGGTATCACCACGCTATGGAAGGGGCTTGGCAGCATACTCATGATCCGAGGCATGACCCTTGCGATTGAAGACCTCATCAGCAAACTCACCCCCTGGCCCAAGTATGTGAAGATGTTAGGCTAGGTTGTCATCGTGCAGGTTGTTTGTTCATTAGTCGTACTTTGTTGCTGAAATGTTGACATTCAGCCCAAACTGTAATGCACTCTGCATGATACAGCGTGTTAAACAGCCTCAGCAGTTGAAACAGCACCTTGATCTGAGATGATAAAGGTGTAATCCATTCCAAAATACACATGTGTTCTCTGAAAGTTCTGAATTTGCAAATTACTGAATCAGATGTGGAAGATATGACTCACACTGTGAGAAATGACCAATAATTGATCGTATCAAAACTAGCGGATGAACCGAGCATAAGTAGAGGAACTCTTGCATTTATTTAGAATGAAAAATATTTGTGTAAAGACAGTAAAGAAATCTTAGTGATAAGGAAAAACTTTGAGGCAGAGAATTTTAGAAAGGACTGTGGAAGGAGCTGGGCTTTTTAGAGATGCTGTAATCCATCACAAGATTGCTTCTTCTGTCTGGCCGGAAGCCTCACCATCGAGTCCTCTCATAGCTACTCCATTTCACATCCTATGAACTTATGTCTGGAAGACATTATGCAGTCTCCTTTACATTTCTTGCTTTTGAAAACGTTTCCCACTAAAATATTGATGACATTTGATTCCTCTCCTGTCTGATGCCCTTGTCCAATTTATGGCAACCTCGGTTTGACAGCCCAAAACAATTTGAGGTGAGATGCTTTAACATTTTAGAGTTCTTGTCTGTGTAACACCCTGCATTCTGCAGCAACTTCATATTTTTTAATCAGATGTTATTCTTACTCTGCAAACATATTTGTTCCTGTTTCTTTTCAGGGAAATTACGTGGCACAGTTCACTGAAGTCATTTGGCAAACATATACTACTCAAGTGGTACGTGAGTATGTTACACGACATTTGGTTTGCACGTTTAAAAGAAATTGATGTTTGTGAAAGATGGTCTCTGACATTAAGAGAAGAATACATACTGAGGGTGTTTGAGAAAAGGGTACCAAAGAAAATATTTGCACCTATCTTCTTAAGAAGGACTTTGTTCCATGAGCTTTGTTAGTTATCTACTTTGATATAAAATCCAGCGACAGTTGCATGGTCTGTAGCACTGGCCGGTCAGTAAGAAGTTTAAACGTGTGTTAAAGGACGGTTTTATATATGAATGTACATGGTGCCTTGCTTTCAAGGAGTGCTTCCTTATGTTGCAGTGCCACTTTGGCCATAATAACGCCGTTCTACTCGGCCAGTCTTGTGGAAACAGTTCAGAGTGATATCGCAAGTGAGAAACCAGGTTTCTTTGATGTCTTCAGGGAAGGCATATGCCGTCTTGTTAGCTGGAGTTCTCCGCAGAAGGGTACGCCAGAATTCTTGTAGAGCTGTAATACGTTTAATGATTTGAATGACAAGGAGTTTTGACAGCAGCAGTTTCCATTTCCCCTGATTTCCTGGGAATAATGTAATATATGATTTCCCACTTACCTCTGATTAAAAATGGCTGTCAGAAAAGTCCACCAGAAAGGCCAAGGCCCAGGGCGGGCAGTAGTAATAAATTTGTGTAATTATTAATTTCAAATTTAGTGTTGCTGTTTGTTTGTTGCTTGCAAAATGGAAACCACGCTCAGAGGTCCTCATTACTCACGTTGAACACTGATATCTTAGGCCGCATGCTTCCTGTACTGGTGCTGGTGGTGCCCACTGTGATGTATGGGCTGCTTAGGTACGTCTTGACCGTTTTGGTTCGAGGTGCGGCGAGTCGGATCATGCGCTTTAGCTACAGGCGTGGGCAGGAGGTGCAGGTGAGGTCTTGTCACATCATATTCTCTGTGCGCAAAGATTCCTTTGACCGTCACCTCTCGTTTGATTGAGAGGTGTTTATTATGTTGCTGTTGATTCATTAAATTTGTTATCATCGTTGGGAATTAATATTATAAAGTACTTGTATTTTTGTAGTGAAATTAATTTTGCGGTAGGAGACCACCATCCTTCTCGATTCTATAATTTGTGCTACTAATTATTCTTGTTTTGCTAAATAAATGGTTGGTGCCTTACTTTTTATTTAAATTTAAACAGTCATTTTAATCTTTCCCCTATTCAAGGTGCAAGAAACTTGTCTCCCAAACAAATGCCATATAAAAAAGTAGCCTTTTTCTCATGGATATTCAGAGTGTAATATGTGTTTATTGTCACTGTGTCTGTGTGTCCTTTCATGCCTGAATATTAAGTTTTCAAATTTTCACAGGGTGCATTGTCTCGTGATGAGCCAAGTCATGCCGTGTCTCAAGACATTGAGCTGACGTCGTCTCTCATTGGTCTCATTACTGCTGATGTGGTGTTATTTCCTATGGAAACTGTCTTGCACAGGTAAAAATATTTATCGCTCTGAAATGGAAGCATGTAAAGGTACTGCGTTAAAAGGTAAGTTTTCTTGGAATATTGTAACTGTTCCACGAGAACAAAATGTTCATTTGCTCCGCAGTTGCCATCGTTTAACTCCGAAATCCATGGTATTGTGGACAGTTCCTGAAACTTTTCTGCCCATTGAATTTAGTTTTTATAGGCCCCAGTTTTATTTTACAGATCATGGTATTGACAGAAGGTGTGGAATTTTGCCACATAATATGCAAACATTTTCCATTAAAACTTTAATTTTTTATGCACTTGAATGCATAGATATAAAATATTTGAGGTTTCTGTGGCAGTAAAAAGGTGGGTTTTAGTCTTGTAGATTATGAATGTGCTAGAGGAATATGTCACCTCTATCTTCAGGGTAGAATATGTATACCTAGAAGTAATTTCTTGGTGTACCTAGAATTTTTCTTTTAACACATCTAGGAAATAATAATAGGATTTTTTATTCATTTTGTGACTGTCGTGTAAAATGTCTGCATTATGTCTTTGTACAGAATACTATATTTTTCACATATTATGGCCATTCCTACAATTTAAACTGACACCTGTAAGTTGTAATAAAGATAGTAACAAATGAAGCAGTGAATATTCCACATTTATAAATATTGAACTTAAAACTGTGCTTTTTGTTACAGGCTTCACTTGCAAGGAACAAGAACCATAATTGATAACTTAGACTCTGGCTATGAAGTGATTCCAATTCTGACTAGCTACGAGGGCGCGAGGGATTGTTATGTGACGACATTACAGCAAGAAGGAGTCGCAGGCTTGTACAAGGGATTTGGAGCCCTGATCCTACAATTTGCAGCGCACGTTGCTGTCGTCAAACTAACGAAAATTGTTCTTACTGAGATCTCCAGTATGCTGCGTTCTGCACCCAGGCCTTCTCTTCCTCCATCTTCCTCTCATCCAAATCTCACCCATGTTCCTTCGTCACATCAGAGCTCTTCGAATCCTTCCCCTGGGTATGGTTATACACAGCAGATTTACCTGCCATATGAGTAACGTGTATGTTTGTTATACATTCGAAGGCAGAATGTTGTACAAATTTATCAGAATTACAAAAAATGAGGTTTGATGGGAATAACTACATTTTAATACAGCATGTTTATGTTATGCTGGTAGAATGGTAGGTAGTGCCTGAGTCAGATCATGAGTATGTTATGTTGTTATGATTTCAGTGATATTGGTCTCATTATTTACAGTATGTGAACCAGATGAATCACTGGCACAGCTTTCTTGCTTCATTGGCAGAGAACGGGTTAATAATAAAATCAACTGTTCCTTGGTTATGATTTCATTAATGTATTCACCCAAAAGAGGTAAACAATGTAAGTATATGTTTGAAGACACAAATTTGGTAATTATAAAAATGTTATGTCTCATTTTCCCCACAATTTCCTTGTGTTTTAAAAAATTGTTTATACCACATTCTGATTCCTCCTATGTACCACTGAAATTCATGTTTCCTGTCGGAGATTTCTGCTGCTGTCACTGTTATCGAGGATTCGGATGAAGTTTGGTTGGAAAGTGGAACAGGCACATGGCATTTGTGTGAATTAGAAAATTAATGTAACTTCTAATAGGTTTTGAATGAAATGATTTTGTTACAGTCTGGGCATTCTGTGGTGTTAAACTGACCCCCATGCAAAGCATATCCAGATTAATATGTGCGATAAAATTTCTCTGAAATGGACGTCACAAAGCGGTGTCAAACAAGAATTTATAAAATATATAGTATCTGATATCGTTTAGAGAGGTTGTTTGAATCCAAAATTTGTTAATGGAATTGAACAAATTGCTGCAGTGATTTGCATGTGTAAAGAGTGTGGATGAAACAAGAATACTAAGAAAGTCATTAGAATTAAAATGTAAAAGAAAGAGACCCATGGGGTGATACTGGAATGGTGGTTATGTTTTGAAAGTGATAACCTTTCATCCCTGTAAGTAGTGTGTCCTAGTTTTGACAGATTGAGTGTTCGTACATTTTCATCAGTGTTTGCAAATGTCCATCCAGCCACAGTACTCTGAATAAATTCTGCGCCATCCAGGCATTGGAGGTCATCGGAAAGAGGTAGCAGCCGGTAAGATTTTTGAAGGGAAACGGTGTGAAGAGGGAAGAGCTCGGAAACTTGTTCTGTCAGTCAGCGTAAGAAGCAAGCTGTCATTTGTGTAGTCGCACTTGTCATCTGTTTGGACATGAGAATACAGAACATGTCACATGAACAACCTCTTACCATTGTATGTGACTATCACCAACAAGTTCTACCTTCTCAACAACTGATATGGTTCTCTGTGTTTGAAAACTTTGTTCATAACTGATGATTAATGTTTTGATGTGCGTAGAAAAATTTATATTCTTATTCCATCTGACCTGTACTCCCACTAAATCATATTTTTTATAATTGTGCTGTTTTCAGTGAATTTCCATGTTCTGAATCTGAAGTTCATTTTTTGTT